AAATGAATTTTAAACTAAAGCTTTGTTTTTAAATGTTTCTGCTCTAAATACTAATTATCTTAATAAAAGCATTATTATTATTTGAATTATATTGAAGACTTTACTAAGACTTTAAGTAAAACTTGTTTAGATTCCACAAATAACCGGGGATATTACCACATCTTCAATCTGTATTTTGTATTCTGTCTTTGTCACTCTTTTTGATCTTCGGATGTAAGAATTTGTTCAAATTATTAATGTCAGCACGTAAGTTTTGATTGTTTATCTCTTCCCCAGTCATGACCTCTCTTGTTACAACCTTCCTCTGCCCTCCTAGTGTGCCGATGGTTTTTTAAGAGGTTGTGATTACACCATTTATTCCTTTATCTTCCCTCATAAGGCACTGGGCCTCTTTATTGCTGACAAGCATTTGCTCAAGGAATGCAACTAACCTTTTCACAATAATTTGTTGTTTGCCTTTCTAATTCTATAATTACCTAAAAAATTCAGAATACTGTAGGATCAGACATTTTCTTCTTCCTTTTATTAAGTAACAAGCTTGTGACTGAGGCTAACCTAGACCTTTCAAAAATGCCCCTTATTAAAATGCTTATGTTTAGAACAGCCTGTTTACAGACACCTAAATAATTTCCCTTGTGTTTTTCCTTCAGAGAATCTCATCTCATCCAGTATCTCGATATATAGACCACAAGCCTAGTTGTGAACATCTGCTGCGTGTAACTGTCAACCCCTTTTGGCCATCTTGTGTTAGCTAATAAAAAAGCCCCAAGGGGCCATCTTGTCAATGTTGGTCATGGGCCACTACAACAGGGAGGAAGTGGTGACAGGATTCTGATAGGCCTATTAATTATATGCAAGTCATATTGGTTTTGGAAAATTTATTGGAATCAGCTCTGAGAGAAAGGATGAACTGTCACTCAGGCCCACATTAAGTAAGGATGGTCAGCATAGATTTGTTGAGTGAATGTAGTGTCCCTCTTACATTGAGGTTGAAGCGCTCTGATAATTAAAACTGAAACACCCAGAAAAGCTCACTTCACTTGTAATCTGCTAAAGTAAATGGGAAAAAATGGTGTAACCTGCCTTTCACCTCCCAATCTGTTATAAAGGAGAGGTTAAATGAAGTGAAATTCTTTCACTCACTCTATAATCAACAAGTAACAGTTTATTTATCTAACTCTAACAGTGAGCAAATTAACAAGACCTACTAACAAACCGAACAATTTCCCCTTAACTACTAACTATTCATGAACAGAACAATATTCTGATGGCATGCTGTTCCAATAAATAGAAGTCCCACTTATATAAACCATAGAAATAAGAAAAATGAATTAAAACTTAGATTCTCAAAACTACAGTCAGGCCACATTTTCTGGAATGTTCCATGCCTTTCTGCTGTTCTTCAGTCGGGAATTCTTTCTTTGTCGAATCCTTGTGTCAAGAATATTAGCTAAGAGTGCTGTGGTAACTTATAGATGGTGCTTAATCAGAGAGCTTAAAGATTTCTATGAGAGCCAGAGTTTTCCAAAAGCAGTTTGCTCTCACATTGATTTTCAAAAACCTTCATCATACCCTTGATGATCCTAGGTCATCAATACGATCAGATTTCAATTTAACTGGGTTTTGGTATCTAGGGCCTGGTTTAAATTAATTGGCTGATATTCAAGCTGGTTGCTTTAACATCAAAACAAGCCTAGGTTGTCAACCACACAGCCAATTGATGTGTATGTTTCAATTTCAGAATTGTCAATGCATCCATAGCTGCTTGCAGACTTTTTTAAAATCTCCAAACTTAGAAAAGCTCATCACCTCTTAAAGGGACCATGCACTCTTCCTCATTATTTTTACAAACAAATTCTAACATCCTGCCTTCTAATTCTCAAATACTTTACCCAACTTTGCAACATTCTACTAAATGGAATTTTTGAGGAAGTAACAATATTGACAAACAGTTGATGTTACAATAGTGATATTAGGAATAGATTTGACAAGATTGCAAGTGGCAGAAATGGTCAGGAAAATTAATGCAAATTAAATATTTTGGAAAATAAAGAGTTTGATCTATATTTGCTTCAGCAATTGAAAACAGAGGGCAAACGGTAAATAGATTTTTTTTAATGGACTGCTATTTCCCATGGTGTTCCACAGGCCCTTTGCTGTTGTGAAATATATCAATGATTTTAACTTAAATGTGGGAGTCATAATTTGGGAAATTTACAGATGACACAATCATTGGCCAGGTAATTGATAGAGAAGAGCAGGACAATCAACTGCAGGAAGATATCAGTAGTTTGGTTGACTGGGTGGAAAAGTGGTAACTGAACTTCACTCTTTAGAAGTGCAAGGTCTTGTATTTGGGGAGAGTAAAGAATGCAGGGAATACACCACAAATGAGAGGATGGAGAGTAAAGAGAGGGGTAGAGAGTTGGGGGTACAGGTATTGGTAGTTAGTATTAGTGAATGATACATGAAGGATTCTCCTGCTCCTATCTCATGGTTTTTAATGATCAAAAAATGTTAATGATGGTTTACAGGATGACTCCAAACTCCAAGATGTTAAGGGGAGCAGATGAAGTAGATTTGGTAACAGTTGTCCTAGTCAGGGAGAGTAGGACTGTCAGCAAATGCTAACAGTTTGAGAATTATTAATTTTACGATTGATTCTCAAATAGCTAACTTTCAAAAGGTGTTAAGAGATAGGGGACAATGGCAGTTATATGGAATAAGGTTGTAGATCAGCCCTGTTTTCATGAAATAACAGAGCAGGATCCAACAGTTACAATGGCATCTTCCTGTTCCTTTGAATTACTGGTTGTAGAAATATCCAACACAGGATGCCACTGTACCTGTGCTGGCTTTTTGATAAACTTGCAATTAGTTCCATAGCCCAATCATACATAGTTATTTATCCACTTTCCTTATAAAAGTTACCACTGATGCTGCTTTGAACGCACTGTAAGCAGAGCATGCCTGATTATACCATCACTGACTCAGATACAAAAAATTTCTTGAGTTAGAGACACATGGGGCCACCATAAGATCTTGTCCCAAAAAAGTTCACCTCATTGCTGCCTCTGATACATTTCCAGTTTTACAGGAATTTATTGATCTAAAGTTTTGGCAAAGATCTGTAGCTCGGGTTGTGGATGAGGTTATTAACATGCTCACCGAACTGGTTTATTTTTGTTCAGACATTTCGTCACCACGCTAGGTGACATCATCAGTGGAGCTTCTGATGAAGCGATGTTATCTACTCCGCTTGGAATTTATACTGTCCGTTCCGTTATGGTTTGGCCAAACACAGACACGCATGGGAATTCCTACAGGCATAATGGTCTGGACAGTATAAATTCCAAGCAGAGTAGAATAACATCGCTTCATCGGAGGCTCCACTGATGCTGTCACCTGGCATGGTGACGCAACATCTGAACAAAAACAAGCCAGCTCGGCGAGCAAGTCAACAGTCTCAATTTATTGATCTGTGACTTCATTGCAAACCCACAGTGCTGTCACGGTGACACTATGGAGAGCATAATGATCCGATCAGCTTCTTGCTGTACATGTAGCAACACCATCTAGGGCAGGACAAAAGCCACCTTGATGTTGACTTTGCCCCAGGCCTCCTGCGGACAATCCAATGCTTTTCCTGCAAAGTGAATGGTTGCAGATTTGTACACCAAGATGTCACTGATCCATCACAACTCAGCAATTTGTTATCCTGTACCTCCTGGTGCTACCTCTTAACCTAATGGAAGGCAGTGCCCAGATGATCATGCCCCCCGTCTCAGGCCCTGTCCACGCAACACAAATTGCTGGAAAAGCTCAGTAGGTCTGTCAGCATCTGTGAAGGAAAAAAACAGAGTTTTGGATCCGGTGACCCTTCCTCCGGACTGTCCACACAACCCTGCTTGCGGATGTTGATCACCATTTGGTCCTTGTCCTTGGCCAGATACTGGGTGATGGCCAGTCCAGTATCCTAGATAGTAGTCATGATCCCTGTCACTCTGTCACAAAACACACCCAGTTCGAAAGGTGACAGCAAAAAGGACACAGAGAGGATGATTCCAAGATGTATGCTGCAATGGATGACTTTCCTGTTCTGCAAATTGAGTAATGTCTACTCAGGGGAATAACCCGCTCTTGTGACCTACCAGCCAAGCAGAAGTCAGCAATGGCGCTACTACTGACTTTATGTGATTGATCGCAGGTGGGCAGACCATGAGTGGCACTACCGCCATCTGTTGAAGGCAGAAAAAAAATGAGATGGATTGCAGTGATCCTTTTGGTCCAGAGAAGCCAAGCCACTTAATGGAGACAGAGCATAAAGTAGAAGAAAAACTTCTGGAAGCTCATACTGACTACATGGTGCTTCATTTTCTTAGAATGTTTATGAAAGTGGCCACTTGTCCCATTGTGTTTGAGCCAGCCGAGAAACAAACCATCCAGCCTAATCTCACTTTCTCCAGCCACACTTTAATTTCCTTCCTATCGCCGCAGCAGTGCTCCCTAGTGGTTGAAGTAACAGCAACCCTTCTTTTGCTTGATGTTAATCACAGTCCTTGAATTGCCCAACTAAAATATCAATCAGCATCAGGGCAATGGAGACTCTCCCCTTTCCAATGCCTCAGGGAGCAAGTCTTCAATGCAATATGGTCACTTAGCAAATAATTGATGTTTCAGAGTTGAAAGAAAGAAAGGCTTCTATTAATATAGTGCTTTTCACAACCTCAGGACATCTCAAAATGCTTTATAGCCAATAAAGTACTTTTCCAAATGTCGTCATTGCCTTAGGTAAGTCCTGGGTGATCGAACATTTTACTATCTCTGATTCAGCAACTTAATAATCCAGAGAAACATTCATAATAAGGAGCAGCTTGTAGAACATAATCATTGTGTTTAAAACGTTAGAAGCATAAAGCAATGTTTAAGACTAAAAGTACATTTAGTTTATGTAGCACCAGAGTTTGTTAGTTTGTTGGGATTATGTAGAAAACACTTCCCTTAAGGATGATGTAAGAGAATTGATGTATGAGAATTGGAGGGAGAATGATCAGGCCACAATACTGTAAAACACATTGAAGTGAGCTGTTTATTGTTCCCTCAATTTATAACAAATTTAATTGTTTGACCATAAAAAGGCTTAATTTGTTCCTGTATAGAACATTTGTTCAAAACAGGTTTAACCAATAAAATTTTGTAGGCAATGTACTTTGCACAACAACACATTTAAATATGATAATGCTTTATTGGACAAGGCTCCTCAGACAACGCCTTCTCCAATCTCTACAGAGTGAAAGAAAGATTTTAATACATGATAGTGGAAAACTTTAGCTGAATATGTTTGATGTTTATGTTAGAGCTGAAAGATGCTCAGGATCTCATGATTTGCATCCGAAGGTTGGAAACGAGATATATGCATTTATGATTTTCCAAAATTCCCTATACTTTAGAATACTCCCAAGAGATTGCAAATTTGAACGAATTGTTCAACCATTTCATAGAGTAATTAAGTGCCAGCTATCCTGTTTTAATACTTGAATCACATATCACAACATATATTTATCTCATCTTTAACAATGTAGAATCTCAGGCAACATTTCACAGCAGAAAATACGAGACAAAATTAATGAACCCCACAAGTTCATATCAGAATAAGCTATTCACAGAAGTAGGTATTGATGAACACCTTAATAGATGAGCAAGAGATGAGTTCTTGGGAGGAAATTGCACAAATTAGACAATTGGAGACATAGCTAGCAATGGAGGACGTTAAGGAAATTCAAATGCTCAGAACAACAGGAATGGGGAATCTCAGACGATTGTTGGGGACGTGGGGATAGTGGAGATTGAAGGAGTGGTGTATATGTACAAAGAATGCACATATGTGCATTCAGACAATTATAAGAGCAGCAGAAGCATATAAAGATGAGAGAAGCATGAATATTCCTGGAAGGCAACTGGATTGAAATATGAGGAAAGCATTCCCACAGACCGAACATCTAATCAAAGCCGGCAACAAAAGCCTCCAGCTACCACAACGCTCTCCCCAGTGATGTATGCTGCGTCCTGCGAACAGAGAAAGAAGACAATGCCGGCGCACTCCTCTGGCTCACTGATCCGACCCATTGTCGCCACAATCTTCTGGCGCATGGTCTTGTCTGACAATATGTTGGAGCTGAACTGGGTCCTGATGATACCTGGGGCCAGGCAGTTGACACGGATATTGGCAGGGGCCAGTTCATCGGCCAGTACCCTGGTTAGGCCCAGCAGAGCTGTCTTACTTACGCTGTAGGGTCTGATGGCAGGGAAGGGCTGGTAGCCGGCAGCGGAGCCCACCAGCACGATGGAGCCACTGCCTCATTGCTCCATGTGTGGCACAACCAGCTTGGCCAGGAGGAAAGCTGCTTTCACGTTAATCTCAAAAATTTTGTCCCAGGCCTCTTCTGAGCAGTCAAGGGCCCTCCCTGCAAAAGGGTTGACCGCGGCGTTGGACACCAGGATGTCAATGGCTCCGTGGCACTTCAGAGTCTCGCTGACCAGTGCCTCACGGTCCTCCCTCTTGCCCACGTGGCAGACGGTGCCAGAAACAGAGAGACCCTCCGCCTGCAACTGTTCCACAGCCCTATCCACATTAGCCTTCTTGCGGCTGCTGACGACTACCTGCGCACCGTACCGGGCAAGGCGACGGGCGATCGCCAGCCCGATCCCCTGGGCTAGAAGCAGTGGCCACGGCCACTTTACCACTCAGCAACCCCGCCTCCATCGTGTGAAGCAACGGGGAGGAATGCAGAAAATGCTGCAAATATTCAGCAGGTCCAACAAGATGGATGAAATGAGAAACAGGCACAGAGTCTAGGCCTGAAACGTCGGCCTTCCTGCTCCTCTGATGCTGCTTGGCCTGCTGTGTTCATCCAGCTCTACACCTTGTTGTCTCAGACACAGAGTTAAAGTTTCCGAGATAGTAGGAACTGCAGATGCTGGAGAATCTGAGATAACAAGGTGTAGAGCTGGATGAACACAGCAGGCCAAGCAGCATCAGAGGAGCCGGAAAGCTGACGTTTCGGGCCTAGACCCTTCATCCAGCTCTGCACCTTATTATCTCAGACACAAGAGTTAAAAAGTTTCCAATCGATTTAGTCTGCCTCGGCCCTGAAGTAGGATTCCGCGCCTGCTGTACGTGACGCTAATTCGCGGGTCCACGGCGCAGCCGATCCCGCCCGAGGTGGGCGGGATTACGGTCACACGGCTGGATTTCGATCCACCGATTGGTCCAGGACGCCCGAGTGATCCGGCGCTCAGTAGGTCTAAGGTCCGGGCGTGAGGTCTGTCGATGATCAGGCGTTCGGTAAATCGAGGGTCTTCGGGTGAACGCCATTCCAAAGGCCTCGCGATGCATCGGTCTAATTAGCATAACCGTTGTCTCGTTAGCATAACGGTCGCTGATTTGCATACCAACTGTCGGTGCAGGTGAGGTTGGAGGCTGAGGGAGTTTCAGGTCTTATCGACGCTAGAATCCCCCGATAGGGATTGAGAGAAAAGCAAGAAAACTCGAACATGTTTCTACATTTTTAAAATATATTTTCTTTTTCACTCACTCCAAGCTGCGACAATTTTTATTTAGCCTGAACCTGGGCGTTAGAAGTACCATTAATTCATGGTTCAGGTACTGGGATCACTAATGAGACAACAAATAATTATTAAATGCTGATTCTTTACTTGAAATCAAACTAAATACGACAGGGATGAATGGGGCGATGTGTTACCGTTTTAACTGGTGGGCGCTGGTTCCGACCAAACTACAATGAGCTACAACAAACCAAAACAGAAATTTCTGGAAAAAAAAACTCAGTAGTGCTGGCAGCATTTATGGATAGAGAACAAAGTTAACATTTCCATTCCAGTGACCCTTCCCCAGAATGCTCTAGAATGACCTATCACTAGTTTGGCCATTTGCCTTTCAATGTCTACGATGATCATGACATCAACTGGAATACATGGAATTGACCTTCCTCCTACAATGTATCTGAAGATCGCTGATCAATTTTTGCACAACGGTGTCCAGTGGATGTTGGACCTATGTGTATTGTTGGTGAGAATGAGATTCCTGTGGCTATGGAGTCGTGTAACTCACCTTTCCTCCAGACCATTGTAACTTTGCTGTTTATTGAAGCTAGTACCTTGACTCAGAACTCTGAGCCATATAAAATGATTTATTTAGAGCCAAGTTTGCCCATGTTGCAGCTAGAAAGGTGACATTCTTCCCTGGAGCCTTCAAGTATCCTTGAAGTACTTTACTGTGGTCTCTCTGTGTCAACATCCTTCAATTAACGTGCTATAGAAGAGCATTTTGTGGCAAGCCCTCCTCTGGCAAAATATCCTGTCCCAATTCTTTCATTTTTCTTTAGTAAGATGTGCATGTTTGGTAAGTGAAGGAGGGCCAGAGACTGAATTTTAGGAACCTAATATTGCCATTTGATCTGGGGTATTCTCAAAAGGTTACCTTTTTTGCATGACTGTCCGTCACAAGCATACAAGATCATAGGAAAGGGTTCTTGTGACAGAATGATGCTGTCCCTATCTTTTGAGCCAGAAGCCAGAATGCTTCATAACACATCTGAACAGGTGATGTAAAAGTATCTACAGGAGCAGAAGAAGAGCAATCATTCTGTATCCCTTCTACATTTCTGGAGAGGCTAATTCCTAGTTACTCTTGACAGTGTTTTGCCTCTGAAGTAATGCTGGCATTAGTGCATAATTCTGACATTGATATTCATTGTGAATAACTCTGGAAAAAAATGTTCTATATAGAGCAATCGGTTGAAGGGAGTCTAAACAATAAAACATTTGTAGTCACTGTACTTCGTACAATAATGCATTTAAATGTGGTAATGCTTCATTAGATAAGACTCCCCAGTCAATGCCTTCTCCAATCTCAACTGGGTGGAAGCAAGATTTTAATACATGATAGTGGAAAACATTTAGCTGAACATGATTGGATTATTTTAGAGCTGAAAGACGTTCAGGATCTGATGATTTGCATCCTAAGGTTCAGTTGTATCAAATTTCCTATCTTGGGGTTATTCTAAAGTCTAGGGAATTTTGGAAAATCGTAAGTGCATACATCTCACAGCTACCTCGTTTTGAACCTTAGGATGCACTAGTTATGATTTTCCAAATTTCCTATACTTTGGAATACTCCCAAGGGATTAGAAATTTGAAACAATCAATTTGTCAAGCCATTTCAAAGAGCAATTAAGTGCTACTATGCTCTTAAGAATGGAATCACATATCACAACATGTATTTATCATCTTTAACATGGTAAAATCTCAGGTATCGATTCACAGGAAAAAAAAATGAATGAGCCCTGCAAGTTGCTATCAGGAGAAATTGTTCAGAGGTAGGTACTGATGAGCATCTTAGTGGAGGAGCAAGAGGCAAGAGTTTTGGGAGAGAATTGTACATATTAGACCATTGGAAATACAGCCAGCAATGAAGGTGGTGATGGAATGGCAAGCACTCAGAAGATGAAGAGTGCAGAATCTCAGAGGATTGTGGGGACAGTGGAGAGTGGAGGATTGGTATGTGTATACAAAGAATGCATTTATATATAGTCAGTTATAAGACAAGTAGAAGGCTATAAAAGATGAGGGAAGCGTGAATATTTCTGGAAGACAACTAGATTGAAAGTTGTTGAAGGCATTCCCCAGATCGAATGTCAGCTCAAAGCCAGCAGTGCAAACCTCCAGCCAACACTATGGTCTCCCCAGTGATGTATGCTGCATCCTGTGAACAGAGAAAGAGATGGTGCCAGTGCACTCCTCTGGCTCATAGATCCAGTGCATGGCCATTGTCCCCTCAGTCTGCTGGTACATGGTCTTGTCTGACAACATGATGGAACTGAATTGTGTCCTGATGATACCTGGGGCCAGGCAGGTGACGCGGATGTTGGCAGAGGCCAGTTCTTGGCCAGTACTTTGGTTAGGCCGAGCAGAGCCTTCTTGCTGATGCTGTAAGGCCTGATATCAGGGAAGGGCTGGTAGCCAACAGCAGAGCCCACCAGCATGATAAAGCCACTGCTTCATCATTTCATGGGTGGCACAACCAGCTTGGCCAGGTGGAACATTGCTTTCATGTTGATCTCAAATTTTGTACCAAGCTTCCTCCAAGCAATCCAACACTGTCCTCATGATGGGGTTGCCTGCGGTGTTGGACACCAGAATGTTGATAACTCAGTGGCACCTCAGCAGTCCTCTCTCTCTTACCCACATGACAAAGTGCCTGAAACACAAAGACCCTCAACCTATTCCAGGGCCTCAAACACATTGGTCTTCTTGTGACTGCTGATCATGGCCAGCCTGATTCCCTTTGTACAAAGAGTCACCATGGCCACTTTGTAACACCAGCTCCATCATGTGAAGCAATGTGGAGGAATACAGAAAATGCTGCAAATATTCAGTAGGTCTGGTAAGATCTGTGGAGGGAGGCACTTGGGGCCAGGGATGTGACGCAGCTGTTGGCAGAGGCCCGTTCATCAGCCAGTACCTTGATTAGGTCTAGCAGAGCTATACTAAATTCAAATTTCCAATGAGATTTGTCTGGATCTGCACTGACCAGGAAGTAGGATTCTGCTCTCGAGGGGTGGGGTCACAGCTCAGCCAATTGTAGCCCGGAACACTCGTGGATAACCAGACATAGAGGGGTTACGGTCACAAGGTTGCATTTCCGTCCATCGATTGGTCCAGAAACAGAGAAGAAGGAGACAGCAAAAGAATACTGAGATGAACAGGCACTCCGGGGATGAATTCTCCGGATGAACTGGCGCTCAGTAAATGAAGTGGCGTGAGGGTCAAGTCGGGTGGACTCAAAACATAGAACATAGAACATTACAGCGCAGTACAGGCCCTTCGGCCCTCGATGTTGCGCCGACCTGTGAAACCAATCTGAAGCCCATCTAACCTAAACTATTCCATTATCATCCATATGTTTATCCAATGACCATTTAAATGCCCTTAAAGTGGGCGAGTCTACTATTTTTGCAGGCAGGGCATTCCACGCCCTTACTACTCTCTGAGTAAAGAACCTACCTCTGACATCTGTCCTATATCTATCACCCATCAATTTAAAGCTATGTCCCCTCGTGCTAGCCATCACCATCCGAGGAAAAAGGCTCCCACTGTCCACCCTATCTAATCCTCTGATCATCTTGTATGTCTCTATCAAGTCACCTCTTAACCTTCTCTCTAATGAAAACAGCCTCAAGACCCTCAGCCTTTCCTCATAAGACCTTCCCTCCATACCAGGCAACATCCTGGTAAATCTCCTCTGCACCCTTTCCAATGCTTCCACAAAAAGAGTCTGTTTGGACCTTGTGTCTGTAATGCATGAGTAAATAAAAATACCCATGCCAGTTCTGATAAAATCACATCAAATAGAATGCAGCATAGGTCAGAATCTTCCAGTCAAAAGGCAGCGGACCTGGAAGCAGGAAGCAAACATAATTAGGCAGGATGGTGTCAGAATAGCTGCAAGTACTTTTCCTAACCAGAACATTATACTGGCTTAAAAATAGAAGAATTTGTACTGAATTGATTCATAATCACAACAGAAGCAAACAAAGAATTTGGGAGTGGGTGCTGAATATCTGAAACGAAAACAGAAATTACTGGTGAAACTCAGCAGGCCTCGTAGCATCTTTGGGGAAAAAGCAGAGTTAATATTTTGAGTCCAGTGTCTCTTCATCAGTACTGAATTACCGCAGAGATGCTTTTACTGAGTACATGACTTACCTCAACTCGCACTATGATAAGCCATTTGTCGAATTTCTAAATTTTAAATCTTTCATGGGATGTAGGCATTATTCATTTATTTGTCATGACACTCTGGGATAACATGCTGGA